ATCCCGGCCAGCTCTCTGGCTTGGGGAGGGGCGCTGGGACGTGGGGAGCTGCGCTGGCCCGCTGCCGGGGGGCATCTCCTGGCCGGTGGAGCCCCGGTTTGCTGCGGGGTCAGCGTGGGGGTCTGCGCCCAGCCAGCACCTGGGGACCCCGTGCTCTCGGCGTGGGGCCGGTTGGGTGCAGCTGCATGGAGCCAGTTTGGTCCTGCCAGGGGTGGCAGCGGGCTGGCTGGGCGGTGACCGGGAGGAGCGGGGCTCCGCTCCCTCCTCCCGTCCTGCTCCCTCGCACGCTCCGAGGAGCCGCAGCGCTTGCGCCGAGTCCTGGTTTCTTCCCCGGCTGCTCCCTGGGGAGGCAGGGAGCTGACGTGTGCCAGCAGGTTTCTAGCTCTCTTCCCAAAAGCTCCTCTCTGCCCGGCCTGGACAAACCCCCTGTGCCACACAGGGAGCCTTTTTAAGGTTATAAAGACCTCTCTGACGGCAGCACGGAGGAGGAGGCGTTTGTGCTGCAGGAGGTCTTGCTGGATGCGATTTCCTGGCTTGCAACGTCCTTGGAAAAACACTGAGGCATTTTTTTCTTGGATCTATTTTTGAATGACCGAGAGGAGGGAGCTGCTGTGAGCAGGATCCTCTCCAGCCGGCTGCGATGGGCAGGGTGCAGGCAGGGGGCCAGGCACACTCCTGCTCTGCTGCACAGAGCCCAGGCTGTGGTCAGGGCCCCCCCGGCGCAGGACGGGGCTCTCCGTGCCTCTGCACTGGGCCCCCTGTGTTCCCAAGGGCTCTCCTGCTTTCTTTCAGCTCTTTCTTCCTCCGCCTGCATTTCCCAACGCTGTCCCTGTTCCCGGTGCCCTGGGGCTGCGGGTGCTGCCCGGGGAAGGGGCCCTGTGCTGCTTCTTGGCCAGGACACGGTTCCTGAAAAGATCCTTCAGCTCTTATCCTTGGGCGAGCGCCGTGCCCTGTGCTGGGCCCGGGGTCCCGGGAGGTCTGTGGCTGACTCCTCCTGGGAAAAGTCCAGCTTCTCCTGGAGTTTGCTGTGTTTTGACCCCTTTTGGAGATCCTCATTTCCCAAAACTCTCCATGCAAAAGCTTCGCCTTCTTGCTGGGTGTTGGCGTGGCTGTCCCCAGGTCTTGTCTGCCCTCTGGGGGTAGCGCAGACGGGTGGTTGGAAGCTGCTTTACCACGGCCCGGAGCAGCTGACGTTATCCCTGCGGCCCAACGGAGGGGCCGGGGTGCTGGCGGGCCCCGTGCCGCGGTGGCCGGCGAGATGCTGTGGCTGAGCCGACACTTCGTCCCGCAGGCGTTCCTGAGGCCCGAGCTGCTGGGGAAGGAGTTCACCCACCTCGAGTTCCCCCGCAGGATCCAGCCCAAGGAGCTGGGGAAGAAGATGCTGTACAGAGACCAAAACATGAACGGCTGGTAACGCCCCGTCCCGTCCCGCTGCGCCCGGCTCCCGCAGCCCGTCCCGTGGGCCGGGGCTGTGCCACGCCGCGTCCCCGGGTCTGGAGGGGCCTTACCCTGGGGGAGGCTCTGTCCTGAGCGGGCAGGGGAGGTGCTGGGAGCCTTCGCCTGCTGACACGCCGTCTGGTTTGTTTTAACCAGGGCTTACAAAAAGGTAGAAGAAGATGACCTGAAGTTTCCACTTATCTACGGGGAAGGCAAAAAGGTGAAGTGCTGTGGCAGGAGCTGTGTGGGGGTCACACCCTGCCCACCCTTGATGAATCGGGGGGTTCCAGCCCTTTTTTGCTAACGCTGTCACCAATGCCAGCGAATCTCAGTGGGGATTGAAGCAGCTTAAAGTTTCCTTTTGACTTCTGCCTTCTCCAGGCTCGGGTGATGGCCACGATTGGAGTCACGCGGGGCCTGGGAGACCACGACCTCAAGGTGTTCAGCTCCAACATCCACATCAAGCCTTTCCTGTCCTGCTTCCCCGAGGTGAGCCTGGCTGCCGGCCCCTCTGCTCCCGGCGGTTCCTGCAGCGGCCGGAGCCGGTCGGGGTGACCAGACCCGTGGTGCGCCCAGAGCAGCAGGACCCTCCTCTGCCTCTCTGCTCCTCACCCTTGCACTTGTCCCGTCGCTTGCCAGGTCAGGGTGTACGACCTCACGGAGTATGAGCACTGTCCTGACGACGTTCTGGTCTTGGGCACCGATGGGCTCTGGGATGTCACCAACGACAAGGAGGTGGCTGGCGTGGTGATGGAGGTGCTGGCGAGCTACGAGCCCAACGACCCGTGCAGGTGAGCCACGAGTGGGCAGCGGGACGAGCGTGTCCTGCACTCCAGCACCTCCCCTTGCTCCGTGGAGCCGTGTCATGGCCGTGAATCCCTCCAGCCTCGGGGCTGGTGCTGTCTGCAGCGTGCCACGCTCCCCTGCGCGCGTGTCTGAGCTCAGAGCTCTCCAAGGGACCCTGTCCTGCACCGCTGGCTCCTCCAGCTTCTCCGTCCTTGCCAGGGACTGCAGGAGGCTGCATCAGGGGGTCTGGGGTGCCTTGCTGAGCCATGCGGTGCTGTGCCCCCCAGGTACACCATGGTGGCCCAGGAGCTGGTGCTGCGGTCCAGGGGGGTGCTGAAGGAGCGGGGCTGGCGGCTGGCCAACGACAAGCTGGGCTCTGGCGACGACATCTCTGTCTTCGTGATCCCTCTGGGCGGCCCGGGCAACTACACGTGATGCCCGATGAGCCCGGGGCAGCGGGGCTCGCCTCTGCCTGGACGGAGCCGAGCGGATGCTGGCGCTGCCTCCGGGCCACCTCTCCCGCGAGCACTTGTCTCCTGAGCCGACCGCGAGAAGAGAAAGAAACCCGGAGCCTCCGTCCGTGCCCCGGCCTAGAGCATCCCCCTCCACGTGCTGCCCCCCAGCCCGGGTGGAGGTGGAAGGGCCTTGGACAGAGGGTGGGGACGGGGGTTCGAGAGATGTTTTTTTGTGCTGCCACTTTCTTGATTGCTGTGAAAAGCCTCAAGGCTCCCGGCGTTCCCACCGTGTGCCGCGGCCGTCGGGGCACTCGCACCTGGAGAGGCCTGTGCTGCTGCTGCAGTCGTCCCCCCCGGCCCTGTGACCCTCGCGCCGGTGACACCGACGCTGCTGCTGGGGCTGGGCCGGGCCGGGGCCCGGGGTGAAGCCCAGCCGGCAGCCAGGCAGCGCTCAGCCCGGCAGAAGTCTGGTTGTGGGGCCGAGCCCCACGCCCCACACCCTGGTTTCGTGCTGGCGGCCCCCCACGCCCTCATCCCGGCCACGGGCCGTGTCTTAGTTTTGGGTCTGGGAGGATGGGGCCGCGGGTTCTGCCCTCGCCCCTCTTCATGCCTTGGCTGGCTGCTGTGTTTCTGGAGCCAATTAATTATTATTAACCGGAGAGCCGAGCTGGATAAGGTCTGAATCCTTTCTTGGTGCGGGGAGTCTCTATGAACGTGTCTGCACTTCTGAGCGGCTCTAAGCTGGCCGCTGCTGAGCCGCCGCTGCACGGAGCAGCCCTGTTCAGCCGAGCTTAACGGCTTAAATGCGTTGCGTGGATCTGCTTAGCTGAGGGCTGGAAACCCACGATAAAAGCACTTTGATTGTGACTGGGGGGGCGGGGAAGACAACTCCCTCCTTTTTTCTTAATAATCTTGAAGCTGGTGCTGAGCAGAGCCGTTGCAGCAGTTGATCGCTGCCCAGGGTCTTTGCACCACGCGCACCTCTGACCCCGAGGACCCATTCCCTGGATCTCTGCAGAGCGTCGCGTCCTCCCGGAACGCGAGGGGTGGGCCCGGCGTGGTGGGGGGAGAGCTGGGCCCCGTCCCTTGCTGTGGGAAGGCTCCATGGCACCAGTAGCCTGTGTCCTGCTGTCACTGGCTGGAGCCACTTCTTGTCAAGTGTCACCCCTGGTGAATGTTGTTTGTCTCTTGTAATCGGTGGGATGTAAATAAACTGGGTGCACTTGATGGGGAGTGGAAGTGATACAGGGAGGTTTTAACCTGTTGGCGTCTGTGCTGAAGGGAGCGGCGAGTGACGCTGGGGCCAGGAGCCTGTCCTTGCGTAGCGCTGTGCGTGTAAATCAAGGTTTTGCCACTCACAATCCCGGTTCAGAGTCTTTCTTGCAGAGCTCCTGCAAAGGCCTACCGAAAAGCCAATTAGCTCTGATTAATTTATGAAGGCAGGCTGGGTAGCAAACAGACCCAGGCAGCGCCCTGTGAGCTCCTGCCGACCCTCTGCCCTCGGCGCTGCCCAGACCCTGTGGGGCTTCTCCCCCTCGCCCTGGGGAGTGGGAACGGTGGCCGTGTGGCCCGGGGGGGCTGCCCAGGGCTGGGGGGCAGCGGCGATGCCTGGTCAGGTCAGACTGACCCCAGAAGGGTCACAGGGTGGGTCCGTGACCCAGAGCAGGCCCAGGCTGGCGGTGGCTGCGCTGGGCTTGGGTGAGGATTGAAAAGCAGCACCCCCCAGGCTGGACCCCCCTGCCGGAGGGACGCGGGCGGTGGAGGGGAGGAAGGGCTGGTGGTTCCCCCGCCCGCAGGGTCCCTCCTTCAGGGAGCGGGTGGGTGGTGGCTCCCGGGGATGTGCCGGAGAGGCAGGATCCCTCTCTGGGGGGTCCCCCGTCCCCCTGACAGGGGTGCTCCTGGTGCTCCTCATGCGCGATGCTCCTGGGGGTGGTTCTGCTTCTCCAGGTCACGGCCTGGGACCTGCTGGGTGAGGCGAGGAGGCAGAGGCTGCATCTAAAGCCTCCTCTGTGGTCCCCTTTTTCACTAAGGAAACATTTCCTTTGGAACCAGCTCCTGGCCCGGGGCTTGATAAATTAAGAAAAACTGTCTCGGAGCCCTTAAAATAGCAGCGGTTTATGCGCCTGGGTCTGGGCCAGGCCCCTGGGCCGCCTTTCCCCGCCTGGGCCTGTGGCCGGGCCACCGCGGGCAGGAGCAGCCACCGGTCCCT